TTTAAAAAAAAAAAAATAACAAAAGTTATTTTATTTTATTTAGATGCCCTAAATCACAAATGTCTACAGAGGCCAGCCAAGCAGGTGAGTAGAGTAGGCCAGGTGAAGGCTATGCATAAAGGAAGGGGGAGGTAGTCATTTCTTGGAGCCAACCAATTATTGCTATACTGAAAAGCAGACTTAGTATTAACAGATCTTCCAATTACCAAAAAAAAAAAAAAAAAAAAAGCCACAGGGCTCCTGGCTGGCTCAGTTGGTAGTGCATGCAATTCTTGATCTCTGGGTCTGAGTTCGAGCCCCACATTGGACAGAGAGATTACTTAAAAAAAAAAAAAAGCCACACATTTCAGATTTCATGTGTAATCTCCCAAATTGTAACTGATGGCAACTAATACAAAATCTGCAAAAACACTGTGCAGTCCAAACAAAACCCACACGTGGGTCAATAGGGCCTCAAGATCACTAACAGACCTCAGAACTAGGTAAGGACACAGGAGTAATATAATATCTGTATGAATAAGCTATACCAAAGAGTAATCATTTCATTAATAACCAATAAATAAACATGATTAATCTCAAACTAAAATTACCTGACCTAAATTACAGATAGTATGTTAGTAAGCCTGTAACAGACTGTCAAAATCACTAACACATGACATCAAACTATTTTGGCTCATTAAAAAAAAAAAATCTTTTTCAGGGACTTGGCTAGGTCAGTTGGTAGAATGTGAGATTCTTGATCTTGGGGACATGAGTTCAAGCCCCACACTGGCTCAGTCAGTACAGCATGCAACTCTTGATCTTGGGATTGTGAGTTCCAGCCCCATGTTGGGTAAGAGATTACTTAAAAATAAAATCTTTAAATAAATAAATAAATAATTTTGTGAGTGGTAATATTCCTTCACACTGTTTATTTCATCAGGAACATTCCTAAGCAGCACTAAAACTTTTCTGTCCCAACTGGCCGTTTATAGCACTACATTTGAACGAACAAACAAACAAAAAATTTCCTTTGCCTATTTATAAATTCACTTAAAAAAAATTCAGCAACACAGAGAAATGAAGCACTTAATGAGGCGGGGGTGGACTGCAGGGAGGTGTTTCCAAAAAGTAAAATGAATAAAAACCTTCCAGAGTCTGAAGTTTGTGTCAACAGGATAGTAACAGTAGTTTAGTTACACATCTTCATCTTTAGCTAGGCAACCATATTTTCATCCATCAACATCTACAGTGAATTTAATGGTAGCCAAGCAGTTAATCTGCCAATGTCAAGATACCTGTACAACGCTACATATGCCAAATGACATTCACCTCACCACTATTGTAACATTCTGAGTGAAAGTGTTTGCATACTCTGGAAAGGCACAGTCTACAACATCCATTTACAAGTATATTCTAGCCTCCTGTGTTTAGGGAAAACCCACCTGTTTATACTACTGAATTAAGCTGCTTGTTGAATAGCTACTAATCTTTTTTTTTTTTTCCCTCCAAGATGCTGCCATTTCTGGAAGGGTTCGAGGGAGGAACCAAAGGAAGAAAAATACTTATCTCAGTAATAGAATGCTACTCAAATTTTAAAAATCTGACACTATACTCTGCCTCATATTAGACATGCATTTTAAACAGGATATAAAGTGCTTGTTTTAGTCCTTAGTGCGTGATTCATTGTAATCAGTTAATAGATTTTGTTATTAAGACACACAGAGGGGCATGTGGCTGCCTCAGCAACTCTTAGATTTCAGGGCTGTGAGTTGGCATAGAGTTTACTTAAAAAAAAAAAAAAAAAAAGACATACACAGAGACCAAGATTAAATGAGCTGTAATCATAAAGATGTTCCTCTGAATATCATCTAACAGCATTCGCCTAACAGTTTATAAAGTGTCTATCAGAATGATAGAAAATGTAAAAACTATGTGCTATATTATTAGTACTCTGGATATCAGCATACATGTACAGATTTAAAATATCTACATGGATTTAAGTGCTTCACTACCACACGGTAACATTGCTCTTTTTGATGTTTTTCCCACAATAGCACTGACCTGATGATTCAGTACACGATTTCTCACATATTAACATCATCATGTTAGTGATATGTTCCACCACCAAAAATACAGGTAATAATTCAAAGAAATTTCAGCATTAAGATCTTCACAGTATGCAAGCTTAAAATAGAAGCAAAATGTTAAAGTTGGCATAGATATTGTGTGGATAACAAGCTAATTTTCAACTTCTCCTTTTGATGCTATTAAAGAATGGAACAACAGTGTTTCCTTCCCTTGTTTCAAACCCAGGGTTAAGTCTTCTTGGAGCCCCATACAAACTGTACTTCAACTGAACCAAACACTAAGTAATGGCTCCGCTGAAGAGGCAGCTTGACCACTTGTAACAATTTTACAATGGAAGTTTCCTATGAGTTAGGAAGGCAGCAATATGAGATTTTTTTTTTTCCTGAATGAGTCTTTATTATGATCACTCAGGAATACATCTTACAGGTACTGTAAGACCCAAGAGGCTTTTCTCTGATTGCCAAAGCCCTCAGATTTTAGTAAAAGGAAATCTCCAGTGTGACAACTCCAAATATCAGTCAATCTGAACCTGAGTCATTTTGCCTTACAAGCAATTTCATCGTTAAAATTTTGTAATAATCATTGCCTTTGTGGAATAGGGCTGTAATTTCTAGAGACAGTAAGGAGCAAATAATTAGTAAACACAAACTGAGCCAAGTTTTCTAACAAAAGAGACATTGAAAAGAGCAAGTTGCAGAAAGTCAAACGTAGTACCACTAATGTAAAAATTTTAAACATACAGAACATTGTTTGTGGCTACTTACATACGCAATAAAACTTTAAAACTATATATAGGAATAATACTCACCTACCTAGAGAGAAGTTACCTCTGGGAGTGGGGGGTGGAAAGAGATGGAAATGGACTTTAGTGGTATCTGTGACATTTTATTTCCCAAAAAACATCAGGCACAGTCTGAAGCAAATGGGGGAAAACGTTAATATCCGCTAAATCTGTGTGGTGGGTTACTTGTCTGTATTTCTAAAATATTTCCTAATTTAAAGTAAAATTTTAGGGGCGCCTGGGTGGCTCAGTTGGTTAAGCGACTGCCTTCGGCTCAGGTCATGATCCTGGAGTCCCGGGATCGAATC